TTTTTTCTAATGTGTGTTGGAGGAATTCTGAGCAGTTTTCTGGGAAAATAGTCTTTAGCTGCCAGTGCCCTGATGAAACATCTCAAAGGCATCTTCCTCCAATTTATTGAATGTGCATTCAAAGACAATGAGACATTCTGCTGATGCCATTGAATAGTACTCTTTGTGCTGCAGCCCTTGCAGATATTTATGGGTTTTATTTTGAACTTCAAACACCAGCTTGACCTACCTATTAAGAAACACTTTTCACTGAGTCCTAATTTATTATTTATAGTAAGGCCAGATATTCCAAAGTAACAGCTGGCATATTCTTTCCTCTGCATAGATTTGCTTATTCTTGCAGTTCTGTACTATGTAGGAATTTCCTGAAATCAGAAGTAATTTTTAAGGTATTTGTGGCTGATTCCTCGAGGAGCTTTATATATTTGTGCCACAGAAAAGTAGAATACAAGATTTAAGGGGCTGGGGTACTACGCCATCCTTTCCACACCTCCTCTGATAAAAAACCATGAGCATTATAGTATTTTCTTTGTATTTTTATCTTCTTCCAGTAATTTTTTTTCCTTGAAAAGCAAGCCTGTATCCAATATGCCATAATCTGTGTGGAATGTATGTGCAGAAATGGAGTAGGAGGCATTCTGGTGCATGTGCCCAATAGAAGCCTGAATTAATTCTGTGGGGTGAGGTTGATCACACAACTTAGTGTGGTCTGAATCACTAAATCTGCTATTGTGGCTGACCTACAACTGCTGCAAAGACATTTCAAACCTACGTGTCCCACTTTTTCTGAACATGAATATGCCAGGACCTAATATGAATTTCAAAATCAAGCTTCTTTTTGCCTGTAGTCAGAAGCCTTTTAATATTTCAGAGCTCATTCTTTGCTGTAGAAACAATGTTGGTTTCAGTGCCATGTGATTTGGATGTAGCAGCTCTGCTGAGCTGCTGGTGCATGCCGTGGTTTGGGAGCAGGGGTGAGGAGGAAGGGCATTTACAGCTCTGCCTGGGGCTCCCTTCCTGAGCACATCCATGCTGAACATATGGCTGCAGCACTTACCAGTGTCAGCTGGGGCAACAAAAAGCACAAAAAAACTACTGAAAAGCCTTAACTGTTCATCAGTTTGACAGTCCAAAGAATGATCTTCCCCTTCTACTTTGTAGATTTGGAATGTATAGTAGCTTTGGAATGGTAAAATGAATATATCAAACCTCTGGTGTATTTCTCATTTGGAATGTATAGATTTGGAATGTATAGATTTGGAATGTATAGATTTGGAATGGTAAAATGAATATATCAAGCCTCTGGTGTATTTCTCGAGAAGAAGGGAGATCCAATAAAATCTGTCACTTGTCATGGCAGGTTATGAAAGATTTAAAATACCATTTTTTTTCACTTTAACTAGTTCAGGAAAAGAGATTATCTTCTTTCTGATAGCATTCATAAAGACTATAATCTGTCTGATCTTGTCATGGCTTGAGCAGAGGCGGTTTGGTTAACTGTCTCATCAGAGCATTGTCCTCAGCAACTTGGTCCTTCTTCCAGCATTATCTACCCAAGTGAAAATAATGTTCCAATCTCCAATGTGCTTTATCACTGGGGCAGCTGCCAAAATAGATGAGATTTTAGTAATAACACCTTCTACAAAGTAAAACATCAGTGGGAGCATTAGTTAAGTGTGACACCATCTGAATACATTGGCTTGAGGATAATCAAGGAATATTTTTTATTATACACATAGTGAGTAATTTGATACAAAAATACCTCTTGTGGGAAAAGCTATGTTTTGTTTCCTGGAAATTCATTTCAGCTCTGCAAAGCTGGAATTCTGAAAAGAACAAACATGTTGTTGCCTCTGCAGTTTGCATATTGGTAGCTTCTTTCTGGTTCCAGCATTACCTGGACAGATTCCTGTGACCTTTGTATGCCCTGTCAGTTATGATGCACAGTCGTGTTAGGATGTGCTTTAGAGACACAGGCTTTGAAATGCCAGGAAATAATAGAAGTGCTATTTGCTGGCATTGTACCTAACTGCGAAAATGATGGATCTAGGGGATAACACTTTTCTCACATGGATTTAAATTGCTACTGAGCAAATTTTTCTGATTTTTTTGTAAGAAAATAGTGGTAAAATTTCTAGAATTTACCAACAGCATTCCCAAACCTCCATTCTGCTTTGCTCATCACCATTGGGACCATTGGTTTTTGTCACTGTGAAAGAACAGAGGCATTGAGCATGAGGTGCATTGCAGCTGGTAACAAGTGCTGTATGGATGAACCAAAATCTCAGCTGTGTTACACAGGGACAAGAGATCCAGAAGGGGACACAGGATTATCAGGCAGTAGCAGAGGATAACACAGAGACATTTGAATGAACTGCTGTTCGTATGGGCTGGGGGAACACTCAGTAGAAAGCAGGGACAGGAATGTCCCCAGCCCAGTCAGTCAGCTGCTCCTGCCACCGCAGTAGCTGAAAGGACTTTCAGTGCAGTCTTAGGAACCCCTTTGCCACAAAATTGTGCTGTCAACTGATTCCTGACTTTCAAAAACTGGGCAGTTTCTCACCAGAGGTGTAACTGTGTGTCCTAGGGAGCCAAGGGCAGGTCTGCACACACTGCCATAAACCTCTGGTGTGCGTTGGGGCCTGGGGAAGAACTCTGCCATCCCAGCAGGTTCCAGACTGCAGCCTTGGATAGGGTATCTGTGGTGATCCAATGGCCATTTTAAAAATGAACAATATTCAGTTGCTTTTTGATTGTAATGGAGAGAAAACCTTGCAAAATTAGACAGATGGGAAAGCAAGAGTGCTAAGAGTGCTGTGTTGCTTTTGTTATTCTCCAAATTGTAGCTCAGGATTATTATACTCTTTTTTTTTACTCAATCATTGCACTTTGAAATGGACAATAAAAATGAAGAATTGCTGTTTGTTGTGCTGTATGGTCTCTGAGGTGCAGTTCTATTTGTTCTTGGACAGAAAGTTTTAGTTTGCTGGTGTGATAGATTCTTACTCATTTTGTTATGTCTATGAATTATAAACAAACCTGCTTAAGATAAGTCTTCTGGGGATTTCTGTGCAAGGTCTTATTTCTTTCTCTTCTTTCTCTTTTACAAGAGTAATACTGTAAGCAAAACTCAAATATGCTCTTCTATGCTAAGCTGGGTCATCAACTTTACAGTCTCCTGGTTTTGGCTGGATAAAATTATTTGTATTACTAGCAGCTGGTGCAGTGCTGCATTTTGGAGTTCTGGGAATAACGCTGACTCCACCGTGACACTTGGCTGGCGCTGAGCAGTGCTCACCTGCACTCAGGGGCTTGTCAGAGTCTCGTGCTCTGGCAGTGAGCAGGTGCACGAGGAGCTGAGAGGGAGCACAGCCAGGAGAGCTGACCCCAGCTGGCCAGGGGATTTTCCACACCTGGGAATGTCCTGCTCGGTCTAGATGTATTGGGGGAAGCAATTATTCTTGTAACCCTCACTGACATCAGAAAGGATGCTCACATATATGGAGGACTTGTGATACCTTCAGAACAGTTTGCCAAAGCCCAAAGCCTCTAATTATTTTTCAGCAAGTGTTTGCTCATTTGGTTTTGTAATTATTTCTTAGACTATCTTAGAGTAGTTTTGGACTAGATATAAAAAAGAAATATTTTGCAGTAAGTGTGGTGAAACACTGACAAGGGCTGTCCAGAGAGATGATAGGTGCTCCATCCCTGGAAATTCCTGGCCATCAAGGCCAGGTTGGATGGGGCTCTTAGGAACCAGGTCTGTTTGAAAGTGTGCCTGCTCACTGCAAAGGAGTTGGGTTAGGTGACTTTTAAAGGAGCTTTTCAGCCCAAACTATTCTTTCTTTCTGTGCTGATAAGCCTTATGCCTTTGGGCATATGGTGATTTTCTTCTGTCTCATCTGCCATCATGGGATGAGATGGAATGATTGTTCTCTTTTCTTTCATCTTGTTTGACCTATACCTGTTGTGGCAGTCTCATAAGAGAAGAGTCTCCAGTGCAGTGCCTGAGGACACCAGCACTTTTTGCAGTAATTTTTTATTTCGGACAGATGAGAAATTTAATATGATGGAGTGGTTTTCCTATCTCTGCTTCTCTACTGTGCTTAGGCAGCTGTAGCAGAACTAAGTGTATTAAGTTCAGATTCGGTTTGACCCAATAGTTCCTCTGTCAATGTACCGTGGGATTAGCATGAATTACAGGTCAATGGCCTAGTTAGAATGGAGACAAAATGTGCGTGATCAGTTGCAGCAGAGAATTGCCACAGTGACAAAGGATAGAAGGAAGGAAATTTGTAGGAAACTTGGCATTCAAAAGCTGGGGGTTTCTTGAGGTCGATTTGAAGTAGTATCAATGTAAGAAATTGCATGGCTTTGATTTGAAATGTCAGCTTTAAAAATAACTTTTTTGAAAAGTGTTTTGAGTTCAAGAGCTTTCACATTCTTCATGAAGCCTTGGTATTCAGTCAGATTCTTCTATGTACTCTAATTCATTTTCTTATCTTGGCTATGAATTAGCTGATAACAAAATTTGCTATATTAAAGGTATCCCAGTCACAGAAGGTTTAGCAGTAGTGATTTGGGAAAGGTCTGTGCTTGAACATCTAAAGCCACGGGTCAATTTTTGTAAGTGAATGACACATGGTATTTGTTAAGAGAGCGCAGTGATGGTGTGAACTGCAGGACCCGCGTCACGGATCTGTGTGATGGCAGGATCTGTCTGACGGGGGCATTTTTATGCAGTCTCACTGCTCGACACCTGGAAAAAGCCGTGTACAACGTCAGTCGTTCGAAAGCACATTTGTGTCACAGGCTGTCCCAGGCGCATCCCCCTCTGGAAGTGACCGGGAGCAGCTCCCCGGTCCTGCCCGGCGTAGCGGGGACAGTGCCCATGCCGGCTGCGGGAGGGGTCGCTCAGGGCCCCTGCCGTGCCCTGCCCTGCCCCCGGCACTCCCCCGGCCGGGCCGATAAATGCGGAGCGGCGCGGGCGCGGCGGGGCGATGGAGGCGGCGGGCGGGCGGGCGCTGCTGGCCGCCGTGGGGCTGCTGTCGGCGCTCAGCGCCGCGGGCACGCTGTTCCTGCTGGCGCAGTGGCGGGAGCTGGGCGCGGCGCTGCGGGAGCTGGAGGCGGCGGGGAACGGCTCGGTGCGGGGGCTGCCCGCCGCGCCCGCGCCCGCCGCCCGCACCAAGCGCAGCCGCCGCGGGGAGCGCGCCCGCGGACACGTGCGCGCCGAGAGCGACGAGATGCTGATGATGCTCACCTACTCCATGGTGCCGGTACGGCCCCGCCGCGGGGCTTCGCTCGGGCCGGGGGGCGGGAGAGCCGGGCTTGGCCCCGCTGCGGCCCCAGGAGCGCGGCGGCAGCGCCCGCGGGACACTCGCGTTGGCTCCCGCCGCTCCGCCGGAGAGAAGCCGGTGCTCTGCCCCGCTCTGGGGATGATGGGCTGCGGGGCTCGCAGGGTACCATCCAGCTTTGCAAACGAGACTCGCACAAAGGGAGGGAAGTTGGGGGTTTAGTGAAACTCCAATTTCGTTGCAGTAAGAAGCCTTTCAATTTCCAGCGTTTCTGGTTTTTAAAACTAACACCACTAACAGAACTCTCGTGTGTTTTGTGCTGTTCAGCATCTCAGCATGAGGCACTGGACATCACCTGCCATCTCTTTGAAAGTGATAATGCCCGTCCACTAAGTGCTAAATATGAGGTGGTATTTGATGGATCAGGGGAACTGTATGTCCTTTCTCTGGCAGAACAGCACAGTTTTTTGCACATCACTGAAAAGATGGTCTTGTTCAGTAGGAACTAATGTCATGTAGTTAAAAAATTACACAGCTTGTATCGTTGAAGAATTTTGAATAGATTGAAACGCTTTTGAGTTTTGAGCCAAAAGAAATGCAAGAAAAATATTACTGTTGAGAGAACTTTAGTGGAAATTGTCCCAGTAAGGACTGCAGGTCTACGTGCACAAAAGTGTAACTCAGGCTCTTACTCATATATTAATGTTGCTGATTTAAAAAGTTATTCACAGAAAATGCCTCTTCAGTCATGTTCTGATGGCATTTTTGTTAATAAACTATTGCAATCCTCATTTTACAGTGATAACATCTCCATTAATATTAGTGGTAATGAATGTGCCACGCACAGGTGTTCAAAGCATGGAGTCTTGAGAATTACACTGTTTGGGTTTTAGAATAATGTGTTGTATTTTTTTTTAGCTAGGCCCTTTAAGTAATCATGCTTTGAGTTTCGAATTTGCAGTACAAGACTTCTGCAAAAAGTAAAAATGTGTAAAATCATGTGGTTTTGTACTCAAATCTGTCTTTTAAATAACTCCTTTTAGGAAGACCCATCCCTGAATTTGGCAGCTGCAGCTTGCTTTGTTCTATCTGGTATGAATTGCTTTTTTGAGTCCAGAAGATCCACAAATAAAATTATTATTGATCCTGATAGGGCTTGAAGACAGTCAATGCCATTTACTGCTAGGTGCTCAGACTGGGATCATTAGTTGCTGGTGAGTGTCTGGATAATTTTGACACTGGCCATTAAATGTGTTACTCTGCTGTCAATAGGTACCACGATTACAGATTCCATTAATTTTATTGCCCTCTCCAAATAGCACTGAGCACATTGTGTATATTTGAACAGCACGTGGCCAGACTGTGCACTTGTGCCTATAAATGTCCACTGTGACTACTGCTGTGTGTGATGTGCTTCATTTAAATCTGTGTATCCTGCAGGGAGCTGCTTGGCAGGGTTTGATGCCTCTTTATTCTTATTCCCATCAAACATTTTTCATTCTGGCCATTGCATAGTGTGTAACTGTGTGCAGAATCATTTGCTCAAGAGGAAAAGAATCCTTAGAAAAATATTCAAGCACCCCCTCCTCCCACTCCTGCATTTCTGTATTTTGAATCTAACTCCCACTAGTGTAATTTGAAGACTTGGCTACTTTTTTAGTGTGAGACAAAGTTCCTCAGAGTTGCTGGGATGACCCCTGTGACACTGCTGGTCCCTGTTGGGCCTGAACAGAGGCTTGGCCCTGAGCAGGTTCTCTCTGGCAGGGGAGGCACTTCTGCAGGGCCACTGCAGGTATCAGTGTCCCACTGCTCTGCACAGCCCCTGCTCAGGACACAGCTGCTGTGCCCACTGTTCATGGATTTTTGAAATAACCACAGGCAGCAAAAATCACGTTAGCTCTAATAACATGAGCATATTTTATGTTCAGGGCCTCTTATTTATGTATACGTTTATTTATTCTGCAAGTGAGTAAAAATAGGAAACTGGCAAATCTGCTGCTGCAGAAAGGCTGATGGGGGGGTAACAGGCCAAGATTGAAGGTGTGATTTAAGACAGTGCAAGAGATGGTGGCTACCAATTATCTGAGTAATATTTCATAGTTTAGGGCTTTATTTTATTTTATTTTTCCACCATTTCTCCACTAGAAAACTAAGATTTTAATATTTAAATAAGATATTTTTATCTGTAGCTTTCCTTAGTGGTGATGCTGGTTGTGAATGGACTGTTCATCTTCCATAGCTAAGCTGGAGGTTCTGTCAAAGGCTACTTGCACTTCCTGAGTGCCATGTTTCCTAATTGTCACCTGAGTTGCACTGACTGGTAAAAGTAGTGCTGCTGAGATAACTGGAGGGCCCCAAAGCAAGCTGTAATCATTTCAACAACCTCAACAGAACTATTTAAATTAAAATGCAGTTAGAATTAGAGTGCACATGGACAATATGTATTTTACAAATTACAGGGTAGGAGCCAAGCATTTTTTGAGGAGTGTGAGGGGAAAGAAAACAAGCATATTCTGATATTCAAAATCAGTTAGCACTTCTCAGCTAATTTAAACAGAGTCTAACAGTTTAAATGTACTGTTCCAGTACAGTCTGGAGTCAGTACATTCTCAGCATGCATCAGACAGAACAGGAACTCATTGTCAAATATGGTTTGGTTTTGCAGAAAAAGGATACTTTCCATTAAACTAATTGTCCTCTATTTGAGTCTGTTAGATTTGGCAGTTGAAACTAATGATGCATTAATTTTTTAAAATAACAATTGACAGTGGCAAATAACCTTGTTAGGATTCAACTTCGTTCTGTCTTTCAGATTGCCTTGCAATCCTTCTGTCTTTTGAGACTAGTGCATTCCATTAATTTTTTTTAATTGTTGATAGAGTAACTGCACAAACATCAACAAATGGGCAGCTCTGGGTAAACGGTTCATAAATTGTCACACATTGCACAGCCCTGAAACAGTGACCCTTTATTCTCTGGCTATAAGCATTAGACTTTCCCATAGAGAGCTGAGGGACTTCCAGACTTCATGGTTTTGTTTTGATGAGTCCCAAAATGTTTTAGTGTTGACTCTCATTATGCAGGACATGTAATGTAAATGTTTGCTCAGTCAAGAACTGTGTATTTTGTGAAGATGACTTCTGTATTGGTAAATTTTAGTCTACTCTAGATTAAAAGCATCTTTATGAATGTGTCTTCCAGCTTGATTTAATAAAGACTTGTCTTTTTGCTTGAATTATTTCGAATGGATGAAGGTCCATTTCAAATTTGCATATCTTGGTTATTAAAGATAAGAAATTGCTTACCTGGAACACAAGTCATCTTTCTCCTTGGGTATGCTTCATTAGAAAAATTTCCATCACTTAATACAAATATAAAATAAAATTGAATGTATTTTTTATTAGCTGATAATTGGATTTTAATACCTTCTATCGGTAGAGTCCATGCATGGACAACCACATGAGTTCCAGTAATGTGTGAAATTTAATGGCTAAGTGATGTATGGAGTCGTATGCCCAATATTTTATTCATATTTTCAGTAAAGATTAAACTGAGGTCTATTGAACAGTCCTATAAGAGAAACACTGCCCAAAGAGATGGATGGTGTCACAGTGTTACAGTATTCTGAATAGCTTATTCTAATAAGCACAGAGGGCCAGTTGTATCTTTAGGTTTGGAATTATTTCTGTAGGTAAAGTGAACATAAATACTTTAATGAAATACATTGTTTTTAACTTTAATTTCTTTGCAATATTAGGTCCGAGTGATGGTGGATTTGTGTAACAGCACAAAAGGGATATGTTTAACAGGTACGTTTGTTGCCTTAAGCATTATGTCACTGTGTTACCTCCAGGAACCCAGAAACAGTGTTTTCAAAGAACCTGAGGTCAATAACAGTGTCAAAAACCTGCTATTTATCAGAATTTTAAAATAGGTTAATATGTACCACTTTGGGACTTATCTGTACCCTCTGAATATAAATACTGGAATTTAAGGAACTCAGTTGATGCTACTTGGAGCCATTTCTCTTTGATGAAATTTTCATAAATCTTTTAGACTTGGGTGTTTCAAATACCAGCTGAGGTTTAGTCATAATATTTTTGCATATGTCACACTTCAGGCCCAACACAGGAGGAACATGCAGGGGGTAGAAACTTGCTCCCATTGCTACAACTGCAGTGCAGCAGTGGCACTTAGTGAAGTCACATGTCACCAGCGAGGACCTGGAGCTGCTGGTGGCTCAGTCACAAGCAGGCGTGGAAAGTTTTGTGGGGTTTGGTGAAGAGTGCCTGGTAGCAGCCAATTTAAGAGCTATGGTCCAGCTTTGAGGTCTGTCACAGAATGAGTTGTGTTCCTTTTGGAAATGAGAAGATTAGAAAGAAGCCAGATTTATGAGTTAAAGAAAATGCTTCACTTGCTGTCTGGTTTGAATTTTCAAATGGCAATAAGGTCAATTTGACTCAACTGAATAAACACAAATGAGAACTACCATTGTACACACAGATGTTAAATAGTATTTCTAAAGCTGTACATCAGTTCTCATTGCAACAGTGGCTGAACCACAGACAATCTAAGTTTTGGGTTTTTTGGGCTCCAAATTTGTAAATTCATGTTCCTTGGTGCCTTTTGTACCTTTTTCTCTCTTAACACCATTACATGAGTGGCTTTCTCTGCTGTAGACCTCAATGACATTCATGGCTTTCCAAGCACCTTTCTTATGTATCTTACACTTGTACAAGGAGCCTCAGCTTTAGGGATGAGGAAGTAATTCAATGCACTGATGGATGTAACATAGTGTGAAAGAAATAACCATTTACTGGAAAACTGGCAGAAATATGTTAACTGACATTACTGCCTGTAGTGATTAAAAGGGAGGATTCCTATAATGGTATTGTAAAATGGCTTTCACTTTACTCATAATGTTTTGTAATTAATGCTGAAAATTTTCATATTTAGGAAAATCTAGTAATTACTGTTACTTTCTGTTGTAAAAAGTTTGGTTGAAATAAGACAGTACTTTGGCTGGATAAAAATGCTCACAGAGTTAATTTGGTTCTTTAATTGCAACTGTCACCTTTGTATTCTCCAAGTGGTTTTCCATTTTTAAAATTTTTTTGGGGATCACAGATGAGGAATCACAGACATTGTTCTGGTTAATCTTTCTTTATTCTTGCCTGCTATGCTTGCTTCTCTTTAGGGCCCTACATCTAAACTGTGTAAGAGAATGAGACAGATTTTTCTGTATTTCAAGTTGCTGAATGACTGAAGCAAGTCCAATTTCTAAATGTACCAACCAGTTTCTGTGGGAAGCTTGATCCAGACTGGATAACTATCACATGACTGTTGATATGAAAGACAAGACTTTTTTTCCTATTTAAATAGTCTGAGTCCTGAATTGCAATGAAATATCTGTAAAACACAGAGAAGAGTGGCATGTATTTTTATTGTGTATTTCCAACAGGTTTTTGAATTGTGACATTCATCAGTATTGTAAAGCCAATATTCTTCCACTAGAAGAGGTTTTTGAAGAGCACTTACATAAAGGAAATATGACTGTGAGGTGTCTTGCACCCATGGCTTTGTGAAGGCACCAAAGCCCCTGACAGTGAGGTTACATTGCAGAGGTTGTTGCCAAACCTTTATCAATTGAAATTTGAAAAAAACAAAACATGTTTATGTAAATGTGTTACTCTTTTGGCAAGTCTGGGTTACTGCTAATTCTCAGACAGTTATTTATAACACAAAGCAGTTAAACAGATAGATGCTTATTTTGAAATTGGAGGGATTTTCTTACCCTTTTACTGTTGTGAGCTAGTGCTAATCAGTTCAGTTTGGAATTGCTTTGTTTTCTTGCTAGGTTAAACTCACCATTTTGTCTTTCTTGTGTTTTTGTTTTGTTTTTTTTTTCTCTCTTGTTATAGGCCCCCCAGGACCCCCAGGTAACACACTTGGACAATTGCAGTAACACTTGGGGGTAATTGAAACAGTTGCTGGTACAAAATATTGAAACACAGAAAGGTATCTTTCACAAAATTGTCTTCCTTTGCTAATTAGATAAAAGGAGGGTTGAATTACTGCCTGCCTTTATAATGCTTGTATTTAAGTCAGTTCATGCCCCTTGTGGGAGAGGGGAGGTTTTAGACATTTTAATTTTCTAGTGGAGGGTGTAGAACATTTGATCAAAACCAAATTAATATGTTTAAGTAGCATCTAGGTGAAGAGATGAATTTATATATTAACCTCCCAAGGAAATGTATATTATAATTTAACACTGAAACCATATTTTTAAAAAAATATTGGTTACTGATTACACCCTTCCACCTCCCCCGTAACTTTTCCTCCATTCTTATTGAATTCTGTCTCAGTTCTCACTCAGGGGGTTGCAAAGCTGTGTTATGAATGGTTACTTGTTTTCTTTCGGTGCTGCTTAACCTGTGGGTCTGCTGAGAGTAATTCTCTGTATCAGAAAAGTATGAGTTATATTTTGCTGGGGTTTAAAATATATATATATAAACATGCTGCATGTAAAAATAGTAGATTTCAGGCTAATTTGCATTCAACAATGAAAATTCAGTTGTACTGTTGGTTTGATCAGGGCCTCCTGGGCTGCCTGGCTACAATGGATCAGATGGAATCCCAGGAACTCCAGGACAAAAGGGAGAACCAGGAGTAAATGGAAAAAGAGGAAAAATAGGTACAGCTTCCCTTCATATTAGGTTACAATGCTGCTTTGAAATGCAAAGAAATTACAGCTATCCAGCTAAATACAGGTGAAAAAAATAACTAGAATGAATATGGTTTGTAGTAAAAATATTTATTAATTGGTTCTTAGTACTGGAGCAGTGCTGTTGATACTGAAATGGTTTTTATTTCTAGGTTTGCCAGGACCAAAAGGTGATCAAGGACAGAAAGGAGAACCAGGAGAAATGGGTTTACCTGGCAAGGATGGTATCCCAGGAGGAAAAGGTACAAGAGGATCCAAGAGAAAAAAGGGGGATGGAAACAATGATGTGATATTAGAAGGTATGGAAAAGTGCTCTTGGGAGTTCTCTTGCAACAGTGTACTTGACAGAAAAAGATATGCTCCACTTCTGAAGCATGAATGTGATCCGCAAGGGCAGGACCAAGCTGTACAAATAGGGTTTATATACACAGGGAAATCTGAGTATTGCTATGCACAGAAGATTTCTCTCTTTGCAAGGCAAGTCTTCACAAAAAGCTTTCTGCTTGGCCTTTGGGTTGAAGTGTATGTGAATTTCACCCTTTCCAGACTGCTTTCATACATTTGACTTCCTCCTGCTCCTTATTTCAGTGTAGTTTTATTTTTCAGTTTCAGTGTAGTTTTATTTTTCTATTAGAAAATGAGGGGCAGATTTCCACTCAGGAGCACGTGAAGCAGCCAAATATAAACTGTGTGAAATTACAGCAGTGTAGCATCTGAAATTGTAACTCTCTAATGGGCCTGTAATCCAGACAGATAAAATGCATTGATGTCCTACTCCTTCTGAAGCTCTCTCTGGTTCACTTTCTAACAAACAGCATTTCAGAGAGTTTATTGCACCATATTCTGTACTCAGGAACCTCTTAAGAAAGAGAGGCTGTTCTGTGGGTGTCCTGTGGACACGTACCGTTCTCTGCAGGTTTCCTGCTAGCTGGGGAAGGGCTGTGTCCTCACACTGCATTTTGTACACAGGTGCAAAAGGTGAGCCTGGACCACCTGGGCCCCCTGGACCTCCTGGACCCCCAGGGCCCCCACATAAACGTAAAGGTAAAGCCAAAGTGGAACTTGAGGAGAACATCTACAGCAGCAAATGCACAGGTTAGTGTTCTCCAGGGTTCTTTTCCATTAAACCAAGATTAAACCATTGCTTCAAGGCTCAAAGCAGTAAGCATGAGTTTAGTTTTGCTGGCACCATAAAACTGCATAAGCCTAAGTCTGAACATGTGCTCAGATGCTTTGCTGAAATACAGTTTGTGTAAGGCAGCAGGCTACCTTAATTGTGTTTTGGTAATGCTCAGGCCAAGTATTTGCAAAAGGTGTTTTCTATTAGGTGGGATAAATTTGGAAAGTAAGAGAAATGCAGCTGAAATAGTTGGCTTTTATATAATGAATATTTAATTTTAGATGTAAATATAAACCCCTGATTCTGGACATTGAAGTGTCAGAGCCCAGAGAGCCTCCTTATGATGGACAGGACAGAGCTGGAGCAGAAATTTCATTCTATTTGAAGTTCAGAAATGCATGAACTGTTGTATGAGATAATTGGGCCATTTGCTCAGGTGGCCTCTTTTCAAGTGTTGAAACAAACTGAAATGCTTTGGAGGATAAGCTCGCTGGTGGATTTCTGATGGATTTTAAATTGCAGCAGGAAAATGGGAGTTACACTCAAATAACTCTGCAAAGATGAGATCTTCCTCAATGAGCTTTTATGTTTTATGACTCAGCAAACCATGAGATCTTATTACCAAAATTCAATGAATAATCCAGATTTTGCAATTAAATATTCATTACTCTTTCAAGGAAAGAAAATACATATGCTGAATTACAACTGTAATTAACTTATTGCATAAGAATACAAGTCTGGCTTTTTCAAAGAAAATTTTGAATCTGGTAAAACTTAATTTCTTCAAGAGAAGAGAATAATTAGTTGGAAGTGCAGGTATATTTTTTTCTCTCTGGTACTTTAGTGAATTCTGGAAGAAACAAAACTCTCTCCCACCTTCCCCCAACAGACCAAATGAATAGTTTTAATGACTTTTAAACTCCATTAACTCTCAACCAGAATATTTTATGATAGGAAGCAGCAGGATATTTATCTTTGTTTTTGATGGGAAGAAGGTAGTGAAAATTTCCCATAAGAATCTCTGATTGAAAACTCTCTTTAATTTTAGTTGCTTTCCAATCCATGCAGCTGGAAGTATTGCAAATATTCTCAAAGGCAAATAGTGCACTCAACCCTGCTACAAACTCTGACCTGGCCCTTGGCTATCCTATACTTTTAGATAAACTGCAGTGCAGGGAGCTGCTCCTTCAGTCAACTGCATCTATTAGACTCAACTTGTGCACTGCAATTTATAATTTCTGCTGAGTGGTTTTGTTTTTTGAAATATTCTGGAAGTATTTTGGGATCAGAAGCTGGAAGGGGATCTCGAGGGATTGGTAAATTCTAGCTGTAGGCATTCAGCTTACCATGGCTGCGTGGACTCTTTGTGCCTTACTTGTGATCACTTGCAAACTTTCAATGTCATCTCACCAAATGCCCTAGATAATGGATGGGAGAAATACATGTTGTTCTTGCTCCATCTTGGAGTAGTTTTCTTCTGCATGAACAAAAGGAGGATATGACCTAAAGGAGGAAATAACAATGCAGTATTATCTGTCCTTTCTTTCCTGAATGTCATGGTACCCTTTCAGCATTACTTTATATTTTTTTCCTATTTTTAACTATCTTTGTCACTTAAACTTCATCACAGACCTGTAAATCCTAGAAATATATTAGAAGGCAACAATGAAAATGGAAGTCTAAAAAATGTGCAGCCTGTGTGTCAAGCAGTGTGAAATGCTGGAGATAAAAGTTAAGAATGGAATTGGAAAACAAGGCTACTATGCTTTTTGTCTTACGACTAAATCAGCCATTTTCCAGCTACCTCAGCTGCCTGAAGTTATCTCATGAAAAGGGCAACTCTCTTTTCCTAAATGGCTACTCAGAAATTCACAGCTAAGGAACTAAATCTGTTGATTTAATTAGTTACTCCTCAAAGCTGACTGTCAGCCTCAACACTTCATTTCTTTGGCAGAAGTGAGAACAAGTCTTTTCTTATCTCATTTTTGACCACACCAACCTAAGCATTTTTTTCCAGATGAAGCAAAATCCCAGTTATCATTCCTTTATTTTAGATTTGTCCATCTATCATGTCAAATAGGGTAAAACATGTCACTTTTCTCTTTCTCCCTCCACCCTAGATGAGGTATGTGATGTACCAAATGATGACACCCTTGCTGGAAAGGCTGAAGACAGAACCCCAGGTCCTTCAAGAAAAGCTGGTAACCTGCTACAAAGTGTGACTCGAGTGCTACTTTCTCTCTCAGTGTCACAGATCATGGACATGTGCTTTTTTCCCACTAGAATGTGTCATAACGTCTGTAGGAAGTCCCATTCGCTTTGTCAGTGTACAGCAAACGTTTGGAACTTGGATGAGGGAACCTGCAAACATAAGTGATGAAAGGATTTGGCTCACCATGCATTTTTCAGGTATTTTTAGTAGTAGTCACTGACCAAAAACCTGTTGTTATCCTGACATTGCTTCCTTAATACTTTCAACCTAAACTTGTAAGAATGATGAGTTTTTACCCACGTCTTTTTCAGAATATTTTCTGTATTACCTGTTTAATACCTGACTATACATATAGTTGTAGGCATTTGTAGTATCTTTAGACATTTTCAGAGTCAACATCAGATATTTTTAAAATAGCTTGATATTTGGGGTTTTTTTTACTAAATCCAAGTTTAAATGTCTATTGTTTGTGGCTTTTTTATTATTTTCTTTCAAGAGTTTGTGTTTCCTATGGCTTTACTTCCCTAAATTGTAGCTCAGTTTTGCCTTTTCATTTAGCCAGGCATGAAAATGAGTCAACTGCTGCACAAGCTACATTTAGAGCAGGAAAATGTCCAGGATCTAAGAGGGAAAAGGAAATATTTCTGCACACACATCAACTGTGTTCAGAATGAGGACCCATTAGGTCTGTGGGAAGCAGGCTCTTGATCTTTTCTATAGATTACTTTTGTGTGTCTCTGGATTCTTTTTTTCACATTCCAGCAAGGTGAATCACTATTGAAAACACTTGTTTGTCTGATAGTTGATTGAGATGGACTTTCAGTAGAGACTGAACTTTAGTATAGAGATCTCAAAATTAGATTAACAAAATTATAGTCCTTTTTTTCAACATCTTTTCATTTTGTTTAGGAAACTATATAAAAGAATATGAAAATTCCAATGCCTTGCTGAATAACAGCTACAGGATCATTAACATCACAGGACTTTTCTATGGATGTGGTCATGCAGTACAAAACAATCATCTCTACTATCATGAGGGAGGAACCAATTCCATTCGGAAGTAAGTCAAAGATGGTTAGCCTAAGACAAGTGAAGGTGTGAAAGGAGGAGCAATGGGTTGGAGTGCCAGAGCTGAACCTCAGAAAAGCAGACAATTCTCCTTGTAGCATTTTGTATTTCTTTATGGTCCTACCTAAATAGGAAGAATGGAGGAACGGTTCAGAACTCTTTCCAGAACAGAACAACTCATTCTTTCCAATCCGTAATAAGAATATGGGCCACCAGCCTTCCACTTCGTGTGCGCAGATGTTGAGGGAAGAGGAAAATTGGGAGAATAGCTCAGGACCACTACTCTGCTGTGACAATTCTTTAGGCATTGTTCAGCCTTGTGTCTCAGGGGCTCACCTCTGCAGTTACCATGTCATGGAGCAATAGGTCCCTAGGATAAACAAAATGCCATGTGCAGAGAAGACAACAAATTCTCTTGGCTATCCTGAGATCCAACCACGGAGATCCAGGTTCTATTGAACATTACATTGTTGTGGGTGCTCTTCAACTTGGATTCTTTGCTGTGTTCATAATCACAAGAAAGAAATGAGAACTGACTAAGGAATTTGGGTACCAGAAGAAAGGATTACATTTAGAAGAATAAGCTGTGCACCTACCTGCATCTGAGTCAGAAGTGGTTCAGCTGCAGTGTGGGAGGTGTAGGTGGGTGGTTTTGTGACCCTGGCCCACTCATGAAACTTGGCTTTGCAGAGCCCTTGCTGTGCTCTGCTCAGGCTGGCAGCAGCAGGGAATGCTGCTGGCACAGAGGGTGCACTGAGGCACCTGCTGAGGACAGGGCGACCTGGAGAATTGCACATTCCACCGGGGAGGAGTGGCTCCAGTGTTTGATTTCCTCATAATAAGAAGTTTCTACTACTTTCCTGATATATCTCCCCTAACTAGAACTGAGAATTACATCTCTTATTTAACTTTCTACTGAGGACAGAGACAAACAATACAAATCAACCCCAGAATCTCACCTTGTGGGAAGAGCCAAAGACAGTCCAAGGGCAAGTGAAAGATTGCTTGTGCTTTCAAGTTCTTACACGACTCTGATGTCTGAGCCAAGAACATTTACTATACTTTGATGTCTGCTCCCAAGCAGGTGTGAGTGCTGCCTTCCTATATTCATGTGCATGCCAAGGAATGTGAGCAAACTGCAAGGATTCTATAATATTTATTCTGCCAAGAACAAGCTCACTTTTTGCCAGCCTCCTTTAAACATCTTTTGGCTTTTTCTCTGGTAGACTGTAAAAGAACAATACACAGTGATAGGGCAGAGATTCCTCATCTTTGCTTGCATACCGTTAGTTAGGAAATGCCTTCATGTACAGATGAACACAAACTATTTGTGGAATTTTCAAATCCTCTGAAGGGGCCGCTGAGAAATGGCCTTCCTGTTCTGTTCTTCACTCTGAGATTATTTACCTTCAGCATAGACAGAATGAGGCACTATGGATTCTGTGACACTGAACTCCTTGAATTTGGGCTCTATAAAAGCTTCTGGGAGTTGTATTATTTTAATGGAAAGTATAGATGAGAACCTGGTTATTCCATTTTGTAAATGCTGAAAAAACATTCAATAAGGATTTCTTGTCATATTTAAAGGGAGGTAAAACCAGGTTTGTCTGAACCTTGGCAGGTTTCTCATGATGGTCAGACCCCCAACATTTTTACTTTGTTTCATAACATGCTTTACTATCTCTGTTATATTTGATTGACTTTGTTGATATTAGTGATCAGAAAAGTATTCGTAGCTTGAGTTCTGGTGGTTGATGAAACTATTACACTATATCTTGTCATTTACCCCAAGATGTCAGAAGATTAAGGAATTTCAGAACCATGTGGAATTCCAGGCTGGACTGTCCCTGACGGGGGGAGCCCAAGAGAACCTGGGAATTAAACCTCACTTTTTTGCTCCCTTCCCGATTTTCATGTATAAATAACAGGAAAAGATATGGTGTCGTGCGCTGCAGAACTTGTGTATTTCTAATGAATCTTGAGGTGCTTTCTATCTTGCTGGCATTTTATAGAAAAGAATCCTGAAAAAAATCTGCATTTCTGACCAACTAGTCCTGTTAAGGTCTGTCTTTCTAGCCCTTGCATGGGGTTATTTATAGATATGAAGCAATTAACAAGATTAAGGTAGTTGACACATGTGTTTCTCAAATCTCCTCCAGCCTTTAACTGTTTGGTTTGTTTTTTTTTTTTGCACATACATGCTGCTGGAATATGGAGTTGCTGCAGATGTGAGTTTTACAAAAGCTGAGGGGAATGATCTAAGTTGGGTATTCCTGACTTTTCTTACCACGATTTTTCCAATATATGCTATCAATGCTGCTTAAACAGAAAAATTATTCTCCCAGTATTTTATGTTCCTGGATCTGAACTGTTCCTGTGATTAAGCCTGTCTTTTCAGAACAAATACTTGCAAGTGTAGCAGATTCCTTTATTGAGTAGTATTTTTCCTTCCTCTATTTGAAGCAGGGAGCTATACAGTGGGAGAGAAGTCAGACACTGAAACGTGCTTCTTTGTAGAGGGCATTATTTAAAAAGATAAAGCCATGCTCTCCCTGCCTTTGCTGAAGCCCTGTGTTATTGGGTGATTAAATGCTGACAGCAGATGTGTCTCAGGAGGAGCTGATTACCGTCCTAAACCAGTAAAGGAACATGATTTAGCTGTTCACTGCTCCAGCCCTCATATTATCAACCTATTAAGGAATCTCAAGGAATAAAAACAATTTTATACATCAGAGATGGAAGTATTCAGGCTGTCCCACTGAGGCCAGCATAAGGTCACAATTTTGGCTCTGCAAAAGCAGGATTTTAATTCCTTTGATGTCTACTTGAGTAAACCACTGCATTATCTGGACTGTTTTCATCAGAGGAACTCCAAGACTAGGTGAAGCTGCCCAGAATTTCTGCTGCTTTTGGTCAGTCCTTTAGCTCCCACCTAGTCCTAGTACTTCTGTATAGATTCCATTTCCCAATTTTGGGCCTTCACCTGGCATTCAATTCTTTTTCATACCCATTCCTTTTAGTTGCTTCCTTCACCTTGGTGATAATAAAGCTCATAGACTAAATAAAGTGAAACCTACCAAAAGCAAATCCACACTCTTGTGCACCTTTCAGATTGGTTATGACTTTGTAATTTTCTCCTGGTGTTTTGGAAGGTTCTTTGAGAACTTAAAAGACATCAGAATGCTTCTTGAACAAGTATTTTCAACACCACTCCTATCAGTGATTCCCCACCCTGTGTGTGTGTGTGATGAGCTCTGATCACCCATACTGAATCCTTGCTGTATCTCATTTCAGATTTGGACTCGATAAAGACTCGCTGCACACCCTGCACATCAAAAAAGCCTTACACCAGGGCAGGAACTACCTCTTCTCGAACTCCAAGACATATTTCAACATAGCAGTGGATGAGAAGGGTCTTTGGATTATATATGCCTCAAGCACTGATGAAAATATAATGGTAGCAAACGTTGATGAAGAAAGGTTCTCAGTCAATTGGCACATCAATACCACCTATCCTAAGTCCAAGGCTGGTAACGCATTCATAGCATGTGGCATTCTGTATGTTACTGACACTAAGGACATGACAGTAAGTTTTGCTTTTGATTTACTGAAAGGGAAGCAGATTGATGCAAGGTTTAAGTTACGGTCTTCACAGTCTGTTCTTGCTATGCTTTCGTACAGTCTGCGAGACAAAAATTTGTACACGTGGGAGAATGGAAGCTTAATGGTATACCCAGTCCATTTTGGCAGATGAATATATTTTCACATGCCACCTTTGACTAAAGGATCTATTTACAGCTCTGTGACCACATGCCACCTTTGACTAAAGGATCTAAAGGATCTATTTGCAGCTCTGTGATATACACATGGGGGTCTCTGCACTTGGTATAATTTTCTGTTTGCTGATGGTGGTTTGTCAGTGTGTATGAAAGGGAGATCAGGTGCCTTTCTATAAACACACTTCAATTACATAGGCCATCCTAATCTTTTTTTAAAAATTGTTGTTCACTATTGCAGATGGCATACTGCATAGACATAGTTTTGTTTTTCCCGTTACCCAGCTGACAATTGTGTCTAATGTACATTGATTATTCCATGGTCATGTGCTCAGAAGAGACTATTTGTAACTTTTATTTACAATCATCTTCTCTGCAATCATTTTCTAGTCAGTGATGATGGTCTAATATAAACATCTAAATAATGAACTTTTGTGTACAAATACCTTTGTCACTTTCATTTAATTTCCATTGACCATTTTTTCTGGACAAAGGTTTAAAGCTGTTAAAATAATGGTAATGGAAATACTTGTTTAAATAGGAAAAAAAGCAGAAAGCTTAAAATTTGACAAGTCAAATCAAGTGCTATAATCAAAAGCAAAATCCAGCTAAAGAAAAATGGGAGTAATGACATTAAATACTGAATAGACATGAATTGTGTTTCTTTAAAATTAAAGACATAACCTTTATGATTAAAATTTCATTTTTAACAGAATTTGAGTTTCTTGTGTTGCTGCATCCTTCCTTGGCTCTCACTGCCACGCAAACTATACCAGCATAACTTGCTCATATTTAATAAGGCATATTACTATAATAAAATGTCCCCAGATCCATCCACACAAATGAAATCATAAAATGAAGGGTATACTTTTTTGCTGCTATTTTTAGAATCGTTATACTGCTTAGTGACTTAATCTGTTGTTAACCATAAGTCTGAGACTGCCAATTCACATTCAAATTTTTGAGTTAAAGGTGAGCAATAATAGGAACTTTTTTATTTTAATTTTGTTCTGGTATTTCAGATTTCTAAATTTAATGTTGGAACAAAAATCTTTCCTGTTGTTTTATGTATCTAGATTCAAAATCATGTTCTTGCAGAACCCCTTCCTGAATTTCAAAGCTGCCTGTGCATATTGCTAAAGTTCATGGAGTGCACTCAAATACTTAGAAGCCAAGTGTTATTTAAATCCTGACTTACACTGAGCTGTTTAATACCTGTGTGATCCAGGCCCTGTTGAAGGGATTCATGAATTTGGGAATGTCTGTGCCTACAGAACCTTGTTTAGCAAATGTGCTGGAGGAATCCCTCTGCTGCAGCTAAGCTCCAGTGTGTGGCACAGGGATGGCTGGGCTCTTCTCAGGATACTTGCTGTTATCACTAAGGCCTTGCATGCTAAGGAGAGAGATGCAGAAGGGAACAAAAAATCATAATTAATACTTTGAACTAGTTTATACATCAGAATTCACAGACTAAAAATTCTATCTCTACCTGTGTGACACTTCACACTCCAGAGCTACAGTTCTGTGCGCTGCTTGTGACTTTTATGGGGGGTGTGAAGGTTTTGGATGGAAGTTTTTTCATGTTTGTTTGATTGTGGTGTTTTTTCAAAAATTGAATTGTGGTACTAATACCACAATACAGCTAAAATACTCCTAAAGTCAGCAATATACTCGGGCAAACACAGTTTAAGTCAGATGTGATATTTTCTAGATAATGTACCTATCTCAAAGCATGGTGAACTTCTGCATAACATTGTTGAAACAATTTGGATTAATCTCTTGGAGAAGGGATAGCAAGGAAATTCTACCTCTTTTCTTCTTGCAGCTGTGGAACTTAATTCTGTTAACCTTGCACTTGTCAAGAACAGCTGAAAATAAAATGTAAACAGCTAATCTTTTTTATTTCAGTACAGTCTGAGGTCAAGTTAAAGCTAACTCAGGAAGTATCCAGTCAATGTACTGGAGATTTAGATAAATCTGTTTAAATATAAGAAAGAGTTCTAGAATGGGCTGTTTCATGAAATAAAAGTAATTTATTTAACTTACAAAGGGAAAACTAAACAGTGACATTTACCCTTCCTTCTTTTCATACTTGTCCTACTTCACAAGCTGAAATTTAAAATCACCTTGGAGAAAGGTGCTTTGTATTCTAGTATATCTTACAATACAGCACAGACATCAAAATTTCATTGGAGGAATAAGAGAATAAGACAGTTTGTTAACATTTAAATACACAGACATCCATTCCAGTCCTTGAAGAACATGTTTTTTGTTTACAACAGAAAAATACATCTGACAACAGTAGCTAGTTATATTACAAGCAAACAATATTGAACTCTGCATAGTTTATACAATATACTCTGGTAATAATTTAATTACCAGTTTTATCCACTATTTACTAGCTGGCCACATAAAGCCTGACATTCATCTGAAATGTGGCATTATATGCTCCATTGGTATTCTTTTAACAGCTTCATTTAATGAAGTATTTTCTGGACAAATGATTTTCAAAACTCAAAGCTGACTAGAATGCTGGATGTCTTCACTACAAACATTTAGTGCTTACAATACATTCCTAAAGTAAAGGCAGGTGTCCAATAGAAAACATAGCTCAGAAAGAAAGGAAAATACTGTGCAAATTAAACCCCATCGCATTTAAAAATGTATTGATGTGCAAGTTACAGTATCAACTGTGCAATAATACTAACTGGGAAAAAAATCTCAGCATAAAATGATACATCTCTCACAGTACGTCCTTGATTGCACATGTTCCACGGCGTTTGCACCCATTACACTTCCTGCAGAAATCAAATACACTGAGTACCCTTAATTAAAACTAAACTATTTTACAATGAGAAGTTGTATACATGCTTCATTTAGCAGGAAATACTGGAATAAAAGTAATCAGAATCACGTCAGAAATGCTTACTGACTTGTAGAGCCACAGTGCTTGTGAAGTGACTGACAACTGTCAGGATCTTTACAACACTCACAAAATGCAGCTTGTGGGTTACTGAGCAATAACCCCTCCACGACCAACAATACTGGGTTGAATTCCTTGCTTTTACAATCCAGTACATGCATTTCCTCCCCAGTGATCCTTATGGGCATATTCAAAATATACCTGTTGTAAAAGTGTTGGTTTTCTCCCCATAATACTTAATGCTGCAGTAACTGATTTGAAAGGAAACACAATGTTTTCTTTCCACAGTGCATATCACTGTTTTTAGCTACTCATAGGGACATGACAGAAACCAGGATTAGCTCACAGAACGCTACAGAATGTCAAAAATGCCTGAAGGTACATTGAAAGCATTGGGAAGAACCCTCATTTTCAGTGTGCCATCTGCTCCACAGGAGAAGATACGATTGCCTTGCACAGTCTCAATCTGGGTGACACCAGCACCAATATTCCTGAAAAGGGATTGCTTAGCATGTTCATTTTTAAATGAATGAATTAAATTGTAGCCGGTCAGTCTCCACACCTGTATCAAAAGAATGACAAAAGGAGATGAATATTAAAGGATTTGTATTTTTCCCCCTAATGTTTCAGATTCCTGGCTGTTCTAAACTCTACTGAGAAAGATAAAGGATATTTTTTGTTGCCTCATTTCAACAATTACTACAAGTCCAAGAGTCCTGAGAGGCTGCCGATGCAGTGTAAGGCTGCCTTACTGTGGACTAGCTGGGTACTGGGCAGGGTGAAGCTTCCCTATGTTACCTGATCAGAGTCCTTCTCCCAGCTGCCCCCCATGAAAGCTGCAGAAATGGAAAGGTTGCATTTTCATTCAAGATGACTACTGTCAGCTTTTCAGCAACTGGAAATGCTTTTCTGCTAAGGAATGCTACAGAGAGTAAGCTGCACAATTAATAAGAGTGCAGAGTGGTAGGAAACACAACTGCCTGTTGTGTCCTAAGCAGCAGGAGCCTCAGCAAGGTCAGGCCATGAAAGCCCTTGCAAAGCAGTCATCCAGAAAAGGGAAGAAACTGTATTCACCTTCCCTTTACCATGTTGCATTTCCTTCCCTTAGTGTACAGGAAAAATGGCCCTTAAAAGAGACTGTATTTCTGTGGTGGGTTTTTTTGTTTTTGGGGTTTTTTTTTTTTTTTGGTGTGTTTGTTTGCTTGTTTTGTTTATTTGTTTTCATGTTGGTGTTTGTTTCTTGCTACTCTGACCTCTCAGTAGCTGTCTGGGGCTACAGCATCAGGATAAAAAAATAGAACTTGGTGATACAGAAACTTTACACAATGTTGAAGTCGCTGAGCGCCCCCTGTGTTACAAAGAACTGTCCAGCAGCAAAGCCAGAATATTTTTAAGTGAGAGAAAAACAAAGGTAAGATTTCAGAACCGTGCACGTTGCTTTATCCACTTAAAATCAGTCTCACAACCTTAAGACGACTACTCTTTAGTGGAAGAAAAAACCTACTTGCTTTAGAAGCCTAGCAGTACATTTCAGTTTACAGAATAAATGTAAAGCAAGCAGGCTATACATCAAGTGTAGGTTTGGGGTTTTGAGGATTGTTTTTGTTTTGTTACTGCATTTATCTGGCTATTTAAGATAATACACTTCTCCAGCCAAACACCCTCCTCCAGAAGCCAGCCCCTCCATGCCTTACCTTCATGTTGCCTTCAGCCGAGCCTGTAACAAAGTAGTCCTCGGAAGGATCCAGTGCAAGGGCCTTAACAGCTGACTCGTGTGCTTGGAAGGTGAACAGGATTTGCCTCTGTCTGATGTCAAAGATGCAGATATATCCCTTCCTACCTCCAGAAATGAGCAGTTGATGCTTGGGTGCATACTGAAGTACTGTGGCACCATGGTCATGACAAGTGAAGGCTGAAGAAGAAGGATGTCAGAATTGAATAGAATTGAAACTGTAAGTAGCTCTCAATCTTAAAATGCCTTTCTTCTAAAAATTGCCACCTGAATATTTTCTAATTTTGCAGACACAATCCTCCATATGGGTAATGTCTTATCAGCTGACAGCCTAGTGGTCTTATAAGAAATACCTAGATCTAATGCACAAGAAAGCATGATGTGCCGTGTAAGTTACCTTAAAATACAGGGTCATACCTGAATTTAAAATCTGAGAAAATATAAAATTCATTATATGAAGTACAGATAAATTCCTGATTTAGAAAAAGTAGAGCTGATCTTGAACCTGGTCTAGTGAAAGGTGTCCCTGCCCATGGCAAGGGGAGTGGAAAGGTGATTTTTAAGGTCCCTTCCAACCCAAACCATTCTATGAGGCTCTTCATACTTTTCCATATAGAGCAGATTAACATCATGGTAGAGAACATGCAGAACCGGGTGCATGTATTAGTGTGCAACACAAACATAGATCTGTTCCCCAGTACGAGGTTTTCCCCTTGTCCCACCTACACACATAAGCTGTATTTCCTTAGTCAGTAAGAAGCAGAGGTTTAATTTTCACCACAGTACTTACCATGTATAAGACTGTTACTAGATGAAACTAAGGTGTCCCAGAGGCACACATTTCTGAGGGAGAAAAAAACCAAAATCATTATGGCCTATTGCCAAGTGACTCATGGGGTGACATGACTTCAAAAGTGCTCACATTTTATGTCAGTCTAGAAGGCAGAAGTGAACATTCTGCAGACATTGGAGAGCATTTGCAAAGAACTAAGAGTTTTTATCATTTTCTTTGCTCTTTTATTCTTCTTAGTGGAACTATACCTTCTACTCTTTAAATG